CCCAACATACAACCTTCTTGTTAAAGCATGAGTTTGCAAACACAGACTTTGGTTTGCAAACACTTGTCTATGCAGTCATGTGGATGAACATCACGTCTGCTCATATCTCAAACTAGCTATTTTGTATCAAGGTCTCAATCGTCTGCTTCCCGTGTCTCCTGTGTCTCATCATGGATGTGTGTCTGGCAGAGGCTACGTCCCACTACGTCCACTACCTGGACACACTACAATATGCTGAGGTTTCAAATTGCAACTTCACCGTGGAAGCTTTGCCCTTAATCAAGCCTCCACGCCAAAGCAAGAAAAGCTTCAAAGAGTTCTTTCACATAGTGCCCAACATTTCCACAGAAGATCAGGAGGTGATTCGCGCTGTCATGTCAGAAGATCCCTTGTGTATCTCACGCTTGCCAAACTCTGTGCGTCCCCGCGATGCACTTGGAACTTCCTGTCACTTGCAGCTCGTTCTCCACCAACATCCTGATGGTTCCTGCACAGCCTTGAAGTTTTTCCATTCCAAGGTGAGCATTCCTATGGGCCTGGCGAGAACACTATGTGAGGATCAAGTCTTGGTGATTGACTACTCCTTGGCCAAAAACTCTGATGCAGTGAAGAAGGCATTTCTCTATATGCTCTCACAGATCAGTGGCCACCACTGGATGACTCAGGTCTTGCGACAAAAACAAATTCCCAAAGAGCAGCGCCTTCCAGGCGATTCAGAGAAAGCATGGAATCCAACAGAAGAGGAACTTCGCAGTGGCATCAACTATATCAATGACTATGCGCCCTTGGCCAACTCAAAGAATGAGCAATACCTGTGGGTACTTCTTCAGATTCGTGATGCTACATCTCCGCTGCATGGCTGGCCTCAACACGTGGTGCTCAAAGCCTGCGCAAATCGAGTGACCGGCAACTCTCAAGCTGAGCCAGAGTACTTCTTTCCTTTGTTGCTCTTGGATTTGAACCCAACCTTTCTCAACAAGATTGTGCCCATGATCTTGCCTTTGATGCCGTCCTTTGGCTTGATGGTGCTCGGGAAAGCAGGAGTTGGGAAGACACCTACAGCTCAGATCATGGCGATGGCCGTTGCTCGTCACCTCACATCTTCTCGCAGTTTGTCTGGTTTACCTGGATGGCGGCGCTCCAAGCAAATTGACGGCTTTAGAGAGCGCCCGGGCGAAGTCAACGTCCCAGCTCTCTTGGACGATCCCAACTTGAGCAGCATCAACCTGGAGGACCTCAAATCGTTCTTGGATGTGGGTCAAAACTGCTTGGTGGCTGCGCGGTACAGAGCCGCTAAGTTCTCACGGAACCAATGCCGCATTGTCCTCAACAATGAATGGGATGAATCAAAGGAGCCGGACACCTTCTTGTCACACATCACGTGGGAGCAATTCAAGGAAATGTTCCTCACAGCTTGTCAATATCCCAAGTTCCCACACCTGATGGCCATCTTGAAGAGGACCATGGTAATCATTGCTGGGCACAATGGTGTTTACATTCGTCTTCCAAGTGAACACACATCCGAACCAATTCATTGCTTCAATGAGGGCGGTGTGACAGAAGATTGGCTTCAGGAAACTCATAAGAAGTTCTACGGTATGTACAAGCAAGGTGTGCGTGAAAAGTATTGTGGTTACGACTCCGCAGTTGAGGAAGAGCAAGCATTGGTTGCAAAACTCTTGGCAACCCCTGAAGAGAAGGACTACATCCACCGTGCTGAAACACATGATCGTTGGCGTCTAGAGGCTGCTCCAGCATCTCCACCGGCTTCTACTGCTGCACTTAGGACGGCTGACGCTTCTCCAATTCATCTCAAGGAAGAAATCACATCACCTGTCACCAAGAAGCCTCGCGCGTGCTTCGGGCTCATTGATGTGGACGCAGAGGCAGAGGAGCTTGAGCTTGGCGAGTTTGATGATGTCTTTGGCCATGGTGATATGGAGTAGTGATCAGCTCTTAGAGACATACCTTACTGAGAGAGTAGCGTCCTTTGTGTAGCAGTCTCAACCATTTTGACCTGGTGGCTGGTGTCATATAAAAAAACTCTCATTCTCAGTGTGCATGTGCTTACTGTTTGCCTTTGCTCAACACAGCTTGTCATTGTCATAGCTTCTCCACTGCAACTGTGTCTTCAGTACTTTCTAAATAAATTCATCTTGTGATGTGGTATTTCTGTATCAAATATCAGGTGTCAGTGAAGCTTGTGAGTGTAGTTCTTCATGTGGCCCATCATGGCGACCTACAAGAACATGGCGGACTTTCAGAAGAAGTTTTCCTTGAGCTGCATTCGGTCAAGAACTGATTTTCTGCATAGTATCAAGTGGGCTTCTCTCCAGTCGACTGATCCCTACCCGGACCACCCGTCCTTGAAAGGCATCTTATTTGCTATGCATTCAAACCTTTTGCCTGAAGAGTACACGTGCAAAACGTGTGGTGGCTCCTTTCATTTACGCTGTCGGCTACGTGCAGACCGACAGTCCTGGGATTGGACCTCCCACAGTCGAGCTTGTGATGATTGCGCCCGCACCTCACAGTCTTTGACATCAGGAACTGTTCTTCAAGGCATCAAGGCGAAGAATTTCTTGAATTTCTTTGATTGCCTGTGCATGTGGAGCTTTGACTACCCATCTTGGATCATTACCAGAGAAGCAGGTGTCTGGCACCAGCAGCTCAACCAATGGGAAGAAGTCTTTCATCAAGCAGTGAATGCAGACCTTTGGCACTATGCAACTTCTTTCAGTCTCACTTCGACACCCCTGAAGTCAGCGAATCATGTTCGGAAAATTAAGAAAACTGTCATGAAGAAGCACTCTGCCACCATCAAAAGACCTTCAGCCAGCTCCAGTACTGTCATGAAGAAGCCCTCTGGTGCCTGCAAACAACCTGCTGGAAATAAAAGGTTTAAGCCGCACTCACAGAAGAAGACTCCAGATGCTATGTCTTTCTACAAGAAGTACAAGTATGTGGTTGAAGTTGATGAGTCTCATTTGAACAAGTTGCGAAGCGGTGCTCTGACAAAAAGTTGCCGCGCAGAAACTGATCAGGTTTGGGTGTGGGGTGCTACCGTTCCCGGCAGGCCAGAACGTTTCATATTTCGTGTCTTGGATCACCCACAAGATGCTATGGATGGCAAGCCTCGAGGTCAGGCTGAGATTCTTGATTGCCTTCGCCTTCTCAACCTGCAACCCAAGACCATCATTGTGACCGATGGATGGAAGGCAACGATAGCGGCTATCAAAGATCTAAGAAAAGAAAAGGGGTGGACTAATGCAGATTTGTGGCATGAAATCGTGAACCATAGCGCAGGAGAAATCACCAATTCCAATGGATTCACTACGAATCACATTGAAAACCGTTGGTCACTTGTAAAAAGATGGATTCGCAAGCGTGAAGGTGGCCGCTTGCCTTCACACAGCAACCGCCAAAGGTGGAAATGCCTTTTAAATGAATATCGGTGGCGAAAAATGCACACCAAAGGTAGCAAACATGTCTACGTAGTGCCCTTGACCACCACAATGGAAGCCATGCAGCGCGTGCACCAGCTCTAGCCTAATGCTCACAAAAGCTTTGGAAAAAAGAAAACCTTTTCCTTTACATCTGGACGGTTTGTGTTTGCTTGCTGTTCACTTGCTTCTGTCTTGCCGGCAAGTCACACGCATATGTTTGTGAGACACACACACACATATATATATATATATGGCTATATATGGATAACCATTTTATGGTTTACTAAAATCCTTTTTGGAGATTTCTTGTTGTCGACACTGAGCTTGTTGCACGTGCAACTTGTGTGCATATATTCTGTAGGCATTTCCCCTCAGCATAGTCATTGCTTCGTACTCAGACTCTTTAATACTGATAGATCATGCCGAAGTCTCCGCGCATGCAGCTCTCTGTGGAAGCCTACATGAACGAACGACAGCACATTACTTTGGAGCTCATGGGCAATGTGTCTCAAAGCGCTTCTTCAGAGCCTACTTCTTTTCCTGATGCAGCTGACATCGTGGAAAACATTCACAATGGAACCATTGCTGTGCATAGTGACAGGGCGGCAGTCACCAAAAAGCAAATTCAGATCCAAATCAACACCATCAGACGCAACGCAGTCAACCAGGGAACCCTGGCACAAGGTTCTGCTTGGTCGAGTCAATGCCAGACGGCGTTGATGTCTTGGTTACAAACCAAGAAAGATGGTCGTGCTCGCTCGGCATCAACTTCCCAAGGCAGTGTTCCAATGCTTGCTCTTCCTGCACCTGTTCCTCCTGCAGCAGATATGTCCATTGATGAGCACCAGGGCAATGGAGGTAATGGTTCTGATTCTACTTCTTCGGATTCATCATCGTCTTCTACATCAGATGAACAGGAGGCAACGCCAATGTCAACATCTGCACCCAAGGTTCCTTTGACCCAAGACGAACGCGTACTTCTTGAAGAATTGCTTGAAGCAGTCCATGTGCATCAAGACATTGAAGAAGAAAACGATCGTCTCCGGCATGAAAATGAACTTCTCAAGCAGGAACTTGCCCAACTGAAGCGCGCGCACTTCTTGTAGTTAGGAACTACTGTCTGACTGTCTGAGAAAATTAGTCAAAGCGCGCGCGGCCGAAACCATCACGGAACCACTGTATATTATAAGTTTCGGACTAGGGGCCGTAACAAAAAAGGCCCGAAAGTGCTCAAGCTAAGAGTCGTTTCCTTTCAAATACTCATGTTCGTGAAGCGGATCATGCCAGAGGTTGGCCAACCTGGTCAGGGCTCCAAACTGATCCAAACTGAACACTGTGATTTCTGTTGTTTTGAAGGAAATTGACGGCATCAAATCTAAGGGTGGAAGTAACTTCGACAAGTGACGACGTGGAGTTCTGAAGCGAGCCATATGCAAGAGTATGGAAATTCCCGGCCAACACACCGGCGCCAATGGACATAATGGAGCTCGGGATGAATTGTGGCAGCCTGGGAATGTGAGGCCGGTCATCAACAAAGGGTGTCCAGGAGACTACAAATGTATTTGATGACCTCCCAGAAAAATGTCCATTTACAACTTTTGGGCCAGGTTGTCTTATGTTGCAGTGCATTCCTTTTGCTGTCTTTGAGTTCCTTTTCCATTTGTCACTTGTCACTTCTGTATTATCTTGGTACTTACTTTGATGTCCTTTTCGTTGTTTTGCCTTCCTTTTTGAATTCCTTTCTGTTACTCTTTGATACCTTTGATTCACTTCCAATCCTTTCAACTCCTTCTGATTCCTTGTGATGTTTCTTGACTTCAATGGATTTGAAGTTGAGTAGGAAATCAAAAGGACTCAAAAGGCATCTGGAATTCCAACAATCACGAGGAAAGTCTATCATCAAGATTCCTCAGCGTTAGAAGCATTGAGAATCTTACCAATTTGACTAGGGGGTCTATCGCTTGAGCTTGAGTGGCGCAGGGATGGGTAAACTCTTCTCGAGGAAGGGCTGCGCCGATTCGAGCCAAGTGGTGCCATAGACTCCCATCCTCACAGCGCTCTAAGCTGTGCTCACCCACTCAGCAACAGCGCTTGTGACTTGCAGTCCACGTGTCTGCGGCCCGGCCAGAGAGATGAAGTGTAGCACTGGGTGATTTTCCATGACCTGCTTGGTTGTGGACATCAGCCGTGTCTCGCCCTACCCGATGTTGAATGCATCTTAGTCTGCCATCATGTTCATTAGATACTGCCTTTCCGAGATCACATGAGAGCATCACACCTGCAGCACCGCTCGGCAAACTAGCGCACCCTGTGAATGGCAAAGCAAATTGTAGCCACCCTGAAACCTGGAGCAATGATAGGTGTCCATCGACTTTCAAGAGATTCAAAGGAGCTTGAGGAGTTTCCTAACGACTACCACATCAGCAGCAACAATTGCTCTGTGTATGTCCCCTTTCAAGCTCTGCCTAAGATCTCACAATCAGTGCTATGCGTTTCGAACATGGACGGTCCAACGTCCTCCTGCCAAGGCGCTGTTTCGGGAAGTCCTCTTGGAGCCGAAGAAGGTACCTTGACGAAAACACTTGCAAGAGGATATATGATGTGTCAGTGTTCTTCGTGGTAACTCTCATGTTGAAGATCTCTCACTGCGGCTAAGACACGCATAGAGTCCACGGACCTGCTCCTGAAAAGAAGTGGGAGATTGTATCATTGCATTTGGAGAAGACAGTTGGTATCAGCCTAGAACCGTGTTTGAGTGCGCAACTGGGCATGTGTGTGTGATTCGCATGAAATCTCCTCAAGAGGTTTGAAAGATTCCGTTCCAGCGAAAAGGTTCACCAAGACTGTCCATGTTCCTCCAGGGCAGCTGAGACACTGCAATATGCAATAGATTCAATAATATTCGATAGATTAAGAAGTGTTTGTTCACTTGTGTTCTATATTTTCTTCGGTTGAGGCTTTGATCATTTGTCCCTTCACAGGTTTCTCCAACGTACCTTGTGTGAGGAGGTACAGCTCGTGCATCCCTTTCTCTCCCACCTCAATCCAGTAGCTGTCCTGGATGCTCAGATTCAATCCAGTGCTTCGCTAGGAGAAACTCTCTCTCGGATTCTGCTGCTCCATGAAACATGACCTCGAGGCTCGAGGTCAGGAAGTGCATGCAATTTCCACAAACAGTTCCAACAAGAGAGCGAAGCAGCAGCAGCAGCAGCAGCAGCCAAAATCTATTAGAACAAAGGGGTACGTACTGCCTGCAGCAGAAGACGGTATTGCCTTGATGGCAAGCGGCAAGCTTCTCAAGAGAGTCTGTGCTGTCGAGGTTCCACCGGTCGTAGTCTTGTAGAATTGCCTTTGCCAGACACATCCTGGCGCTCTAAAGTTTGAAGCGCGACTGGGGTGCCGAGCTCTTTTTGCAACACTACAAGACTGGAGAACCAAAAAAAAGCAGGACCAAGAAAGCACGAGGCCTCTAAAGATTCGGAGATGGCTAGAAGCCACTCAAGACAAAAGAGCAAATGACCTTTGGAACAAACTACAGTATACATCCGCCGAGCCCGGGGAGCGCGTGAAGAGGCGCGGTTTGACGTTGAAATTTATTTGATCCCAGCACCACCCTGTACATGACGGGTGCACGTCAGTTGGCAACTCTTGCTGATGTGAGAAAGGCGAAGATCCTGCACAAAAACATTGAGCATCATCCAGCGAAATGGATTCTTCGATCGCCAAACCTGCAACGCACTTTACCAGCCTCCAACACCTTCAATTTGTTTCTTGACTATCCCCAAACGCCAGAATTCCTTATATAATATGTAATTACACCCTCTTGGACGGTGGCGGCCGGTTCCTCTGGGAAGTTGAGGCCTTTTCGACTGAACTGCAGCCTCAGCACAGCTGAAAGTGTATCGAGGCACTCCGCTTCTTGAGCAAAACAAATCAAGTCACACAAACGTACAATGCTGGTTTACTGGGCATTGCTACTAGTAACAAGGGCATCGGCATCGCGACTAGTAGCTAGAAGCTACTAGTAACAAGGGCATCGGCATCGCTACCAATGCTGGTTTAGGCACATCCAAGTCTGTCGGGTGTATCGCTGGTTCACTCTCTACTGATCTCCACGGTGGAGGCAAAGTCCAAAGGCATGCAGCTGCTGTGGCCGCAATACCTCCAACACTCTAGTGATGCTCAACTGACGCAATGATGGAGCCAAATTCACACACGCGTATCAAAAATTATCACCTAAAAAAATATACACAGTACATGCATTCGGACCGTAGATAAAAGTAAAAAAAACGACCACCCACCCAAAACCCATGGGTTGTATGGATAGTTTCCAAATTGACTGGACTTCGTGTGTGTGTTTGTGACTTGTTCCAAAGGCGCCTCTTACAGTGGCATCACAACGCGGGCAAAAAAGAGTGGTGTCATGGGAAGCGGTTGCAAACGTCCAATTGTACACCTGCAGGTTTTCTTTACTTAGAGATCCCGTGATTCCAAGTACGGCCTACTGTGTCTTCGACGCTGCTTTGAAGTAAAAGGCTATGGCTAGTGAGAGTCTCCTCGGTTTCACCGTAACCAGGTAATACAGCTGTTCCAAAAATTATGATGTGACGCTGCAAACCACTGAATCCGAGTAGGACGCACTCGTTCCCAATGTGTGGCCACGTGAAGCGCCCGGTCATCGATTACTGGTCAAGCGTGAAGAGTTGACGGTTCGCTGTCAAGTTGATTGGGCAAAGGCTAACGGAAATGGTTGGTGTTTTCTCTTTCCGTGTATGAGAAAGTCTTTTTGAGGCCTTGTGCGAAACTGACCATGTGTGTGTGAGTGTGTGTGTGTGTGTGTTTGTGAAAGGCTTGAAACCACTTGTTGTCTAAGAGAGTCCAGGGATGCACACTGGACTGGCACCAACGAAGACGCCAGTGTTGCATCTGTGAAATTGATCCAGGATGTTGGATGGACGTACCTTTGGTTGTGATGTTGAGTAGTCACACCCTGTTCTGAGGCTGGTGAGGTTTTGGAGGTCGGCAGATGAGTTGTAAAGACTTAATGCACTCAACTCTCCATTGATTTGATCTCGCATTGGCAGAATTTGAGACTTGGAAACCTTGAGCCTTGTGAACTTGGAATGCTGGAATTTGAGCATATCATTGGGCTTCGGATGGCTTCCGTACAAACTGAATCTCAAATGTGTCTCTCTGATGCCCGGTGTGAGCCCGCAGAGTCCATTATATAAGTCTTTACAGCTCATCTGCCGACCTCCAAAACCTCACCAGCCTCAGAACAGGGTGTGACTACTCAACATCACAACCAAAGGTACGTCCATCCAACATCCTGGATCAATTTCACAGATGCAACACTGGCGTCTTCGTTGGTGCCGGTCCAGTGTGAATCTGTGGCACCTTGCGCGCGTAAAAGTCTAAAGACAACCTGTGATGTCAAGGCTTACGCACAAGAATATAATCTGCAGATTTGGGCTGAGTCACCAAGAGCTGTAACAACAGCTCGATGCCAAAGTCTTCTGGGCGTGGCATCACTCCTGTTCGGACTCCCCTCGTCCAGGAGGTCCTTGCAGCACTGACAGGCTTGTCAGAAAGACAAATCATAAATAACCCAAAGACAAGGCTTTTAACAGCCGAACTTTTGAGAGAAACATGCCCAATTCACTGCAGCGAAGTGGACCTTGTCATTAGGAAATACAATATGCAACAAATATGATTGCTCTACTTTCCCAAAACTCAGCACATGATCTTCAGATCCCAAAAGCCCCCAACTCATGACTGTTGAAGTAAGCACAAAGAGTCGAGCACAGCCAAGCCGAGCATCGTAAGCAGCTGAAGCAGCTGACTCCATAGTATTGTGAGTCCAATGTGCTCCGGACCACTTTGGCTGTATGCTAGTACAAGTATTTATGTTGCTTGCATCGAAAGTTTTGCGGACATAAGACTTTTTTGATGGGAAGCCTGAACATGCGTGCGTGTGCAACTTCCCAATGAACTCAAATGTGCACTTCAGTGCCTGGAGGACTATATTGTATTATATCGTGGATCAAATAGGTTTATACTAAAATGTGCCGACTTGATAGGCTACAATTGGCACCTGTGGAATTGAGACAATGCGATTCCCAGTCCAGCGAAGCTCTGGGCAGCTGATGCAAATGCTGCAGGCAAATCTCAGCTCAAAAGGAATCGATCATGAAACTGCAGACTGCAGTTGTTGCCAGGACATTCATTGACTCAATTCAGCAACGAGTCATCTTGACCAGGCAACATCTCTTGTGGGTCTTCCGTTTTTGTGGTGCAAGTGGAATCGAGCATGGAACAAATTGTGTTGGCAACTTTCTGAAAGGTTTGGTGACAAACCTTTGAACATCTTCAGAAGGAAGCAAACATGAACCATCGCCTGATGCATTGTTCCTGTTGCAATGAAAAGAAAGATAGTGTTCTTAGACTTCTTCGACCTTAATTTTTGGACTTACCGTTCCAGAAGGATATATTTTTGGGGGATATAATTTTGGGGGTCTGCAATCCTAAAGCTTAGTTGTATGAGCTTTGCAGTTTCAATCAACCGTACAGAGCACACTCCAAAAGCATGGCATTGAAGAACCCTGGCTACTGTAGGAAATTCCTGAACAGAACTTCGCACTCCCATCCCCGGCTTGCCCAGCACGGATTCAAGTGAAGTGAGAACTACATTGCCACCCCGGCGGAACCGGAAATGGGAGTGGTGGCCCTTAACTAGGACAGCATCATTGTAGCATCGTTTGAGCTGATAGACCGGCCCTCGGAAATTGAATGAAAAGTCCAAACTCACAGCAGCTCTGTGTGGCACATTACGATCCTCCAACCATGAGCAACACTAGAACCAGACATTCACCTTTGCACTGTTTTCTGGCAGTGGTGTTCGAACCCACAAACGCTGCAAACTTCTCCATTCGGAGATGGCAAGTTGTGAATTTCAAAAGCGGGAACAAAATACCTATATTACAAAGGTATCATTCCTACAAAGCCTGTCAAAACTCATGTAGGCTCTGCCGTGAGTGACACCGACAGAAATGAATCCTCAGGGTTGAACAAATTGCATTGCATGAACTACTCAGCATCCAATATATCCTATGCGCCGCCTTTCGCATCTAGCACAGTGCTATCAGCAGGGGAGTTATGAGGACGAGACTGACGAAACATCCTCACTTTGGCCCTGGGACGTGCTTTGGCCAAGGATCTTCGTCTGGCCCTGGTCTTGCGACATTCGCTTGGGGAGCGACCTTCACAGGCAGCACGGGCTCAATCATGGGGGCCTTCAAGAAGCAAAGCGTAGTGGCGTAGTGAAGCACACAAAGAAACAAGTCGAGAAACTGTAAAGTTAAGAACAATGACCCCGGTTGAAGCCAGCCACTTCAGCAGCCACTCAAACTCATGTTTGAGATATCAGGCCTCCGCAGTGTCTGCTTCTCTTTGGTGATCTTTGAGCACCAGAACTTCACTCATCACGCCCTTGACAAGGCCCTCAGAAATGGCAATCGAAGGCAAAATGTAATTTGTTTACACCAACGCGGCGTAGCGGTTTCAGGATTGCCTTCAGCATCCTTCAGGCAAACAGGGAAAAAAAGGTAGACAGCAATAGCCATCTGTCGCTCTATCTCTCAGGCCGCTCCATTTCTCGGCCGGAACTGCCATCCGGTGGCCTCACTGTTTTGGATGAATCGTGCAGCAATCATGAACGCCAAGGCACTTTTGATTCCTTCAGTGCTGATTCAGTAGCACGAAGCACCAGCTCTTCCAATCTATCCATGGCTTGCTGCACACTGGCCTGCAGATTCTGCCAATGTTGCAACAAAACAGTTCCTCTTGCACTGCCTCAGGTTTGAACTAAGAAACTGCTCCCCTTCAACCAGCCGACCAATCTCGACAGCTGGGGTTAATCTTCCGGATCTTCAACCCAAGTACAAGCAAATACCGAGCCAGGGATATGTTGAAATACGTATTCCTTTGAGTTCACTCAGCCTGTAGGTGCAAAACACTGGTGCCCGCGTGGTGCGTGGCCTCTGCCTCTGACATCCTCTTGAGTCTGACCTTCACAGAAGCATGCGGCTGCTCCACAAATTCTTCCGGATTCGCAGACCTCATTGCAGCAATGGCGAGGAAGGCCATGTATGATGCGCCTGTAATCAAGCTTTCATGTTGGGGATTCAGTCTGAGTCTTGACACAAATTCACACACTGTACTGTATTCTTTGTAAATATATATAGATATACACGATGACTTTCGCTCAAAACCTAAATGTAGTCGTCATCTTTCTCCGCTGTCATTCTCTTTATATATGTTGCTATTTGTGCTTGTCTGGGGTGTCCTTGGTCCCATCCACGGACGCTAGCTGTTCCATGCGGGCCGGCTTTGCGGCAGGCCTAACCTGTTCCTTGTAAAACATATTGAGAGGGCAGAGTGCAATATGGGCACCCCATCATACAGATCGAGGGAATGTCAGTTGGGGTTGTCATTCGTCATTCGGATGCGGTTCCCGCGTCGTTTCCCTCCCCCAGCAACAGAAGATGGGCCTTTTTCACTCCGAGGTGTCCGAGCTGTCACTGAGGAGCTGTCAGAAGAAACGTTTTTTTCCCTGAGCTTTTTTGGACAAGAAAAAACCATGGATGGTGGATCAGATTTCTCTTTGGCCGCAGCACAGGTTTCTGTTTGGATGACATCCCGCAGCACAGATTGCTCTTGGAGATAAAGCCCGGTAGCCTGGTGGGTCACCTTTTCTCCCACCAAAATTGGTTAATCGACGGTACGTGGAAAAGGGCCCTTGAAGCTCTTTCATACTTTCCACCAGATTGGTCTGATGTTGTTTCAGATGTGAACAAACACCCTACGGCACTATAGATTCTATAGATGTACAGGAGATCTGGTTTTATAGCTTCCCCTACCTTGATCAGCGGAGCCACGACGTTTCGGAAAAAATGCGGCCACCTCCAAGCCATTCTTTACTTTGGTAAACATATGTGGTTGCTCATGTGTGTGTGTGTGTCGCACCCTGGTTCTAAGGGTTTTCCACGTTCTTGCCTTTCCACTACAAACACGGCATGTTTCACTCCTTCCACTGACGCAAGGGTTCCTACCGCTCGAACGGTTTTCCAGCAGGGGGCAAGGCCTCCAGCGATGAACCTTGTCCAACGAAGCTACGTCGCTGGAGGGGAAGCGAATGGAGACGTCCATTCGTGTACCTGCAACCGAAACTTTTGACCACGCTGTCTAATTTGCTTTGTTTGATTCCATGGTTCTTCATGCTACCACCCCCAAACCTACTCGTCCCCAGCAGCTCCGCCGGTTTGATTGCTGACGCCTTGTGACAACAATGTTAAACTTTTCAAGTGATCGGACCCATGCACCTTTCCGTTCCCTCACCTTCCTTCCCAACGTGGCAATTGAGTCTAACTGAAAACCCAAGTTCGAAGTGTGGACCGCTCAGTCTTCCCACATGGGTACTGGGCGTGACCCTCCGAAAGGAGGCCCGAATTCATACTGGAAATCACCGACCTTCCATTTTTATAACTGCCTTTCCGTTTGTTCAACTTTATTCCTGAATTTACTGATTTTCGAGCCGCCGGGCTATAAGCGACGGAATTCCCACCAATGATTCTGAACCTCATCCATACTGCGCATTGTTGCATTCTTGAATTTTT